CACAGGAATAAAAAAATATTTAGTAGAATGTATTCCCTAAAGCATGCAAGGTAAGGTATAATCCGAATCCAAAGCATTAAATTATAGCTGATTAGGTTTCTGATCCACATATTTTTACCTGGTAGCAGATTTATTAGATTCCAGATAATTCTGCAAATCATTGTAATTTATTGTTTCCATTGTTCCACTACGTATGAAGCATTGTACAATGCTCAGTTCATGAAACACAATCATTATTGAGCGTCTAGTCAGGAGTTGCCATACCCTTTGTCAGAGTTGTGGTCATTTCAAACTCTACATAAAACCCATAAACGTCTCTGGAATTAACCAATCAGAGTGCAGTCATGATTTTCATATTTGATCATGTCCATTAATTTAAAGTAATAAATCGTGAATCTATGGTATTTTCTGATTGGTTGATTTCCAAACTATAAATGATGACTCTAAGTCAGAGAATAATGTACTTACCACTACTCAAGTATGCTTTGAGTATATGTGAACTTGCAAGAATTTCCAATAGTGCTGGATCAGCTAGTTAGATGTAATGTTCTGTTAGAGCTAAACATACAGTAGTGGCTTATCAGGGAATAATTAGAGAGGGGGCATAATTATCCTGTCAATACTTCTAGAACTGTTGAAGGGGATTAATTAATGTTATGCATTCAGGAATTGTCTTATAAAGTGTTAATCGATGTATTCGATTCTACTTCTTCCAAAAGTATTGTATTTATTTGTTTACACCTTTACTATGATCGTAGACATGATATAAAATCAAGTCTCTGCTGCGAAATGCCTTTAATAATATTGAGTAATTTCAAATTAAATTCCAGTTTTAGTTTATCCCTAAAATAACAAAAAAGCAACTGATTCTCCAAAATTTTTGTATTTTGTTCAAAATTGAATACAATTTTTTTTGATCGGAGCAAATGTGACCCAGGCATAAGCAATATACCTTTCATGAGACTAGTTCTAATGTGCCATGCTTTGATGGGAGGGATGGTGGGAGGGGCAATTTATCAAAAAATAGGACTTCAATTTTCAAAATGGGCCCAATTTTAGTTTTAAGGACCCAAAATGTTTTTCCTAACTCAAAATTTAGGCTCCCCCTTGTTAACCTCAGGATCCGCCAGTTTCTTCAACAAAAGATTAAATATCTTTTATTGATCATTATCATTATAATTTATCTTTGTACTAGCAACATGTCCTGTAGACATCAGAACAATACCAACTATATTCTTTATGTTATGAAATAATATTTTTGTACCCCCTGAAATCTTAATTAGACATTTAGGTCTCCACTTTCCGGCAAAACGGTGTCAGCATCTGTAGATATCGATATGCCATCTATTAAAACTCTGATATGTAATTTACATGACTGTTGGTTTAGATAGTTATAATGTTATCACACGTGTCTTATTCTTACTCGAGTCCCTAGCCACACCCAGTGGACATAGAATATGGTAATCTTATTCAATCATGACACTTCCATATATGGATGAACATATCCTTCGTTTGATCCAGATGCCTCATTCTGATACTCAGACCATCTCTGCTATGCACAAGAAGGACACTGAGAGAAAGCCGTGATATCTCACGATGCAGATGCCTCATTATCAGATTATTTTCGGGAATATCTGCGTTGCAATGCGATGCGTTACCTTGCCTTGAAATACCAATACGTATATTTATCGTATGGTCTGTAAAATGAAGCCTTCCGATTGGTCAGTTCTTGTGCTGTACCAATCTGTATTTCTCCTGAGATTGTCGCCATTGATCATCTCCGTCGCAATACAGAAAATCTCAGGGGCAATACAGAAGATCACACGATAAAAACGTTATTGAATGATTTGAAGTGCAATACAGGATATATATTCTGTCTCGATATTCTGTATTGGCACTCGCATTCGTCTCGTTCCTATACGGAATCTCTCGAGCAGAATATATCCTTTATTGTACTTCAAATCATTCAATAACTTATAGCGTTGCGACCAACTGAACTGTACATTGACCATGGCATTGGAATTTAAGAGATGTATTATCATGATTATTAAACAACTCAATGTTTAGTTCAAATTTCATAAGTTGGGTGGAAATTCCAATGATATAATCAAGTACATCGATTGTACAAATCTGTTACAAATGGTGTTAAACAAAAGGTAAGGTAGATGCAATTCTTCTAATTCTCTTGTTTGACCAATACGGTATTTAGCGTATATTCAAACATTAATTCCTTGTTATATCGAAAATTAATTCTTTTTATCTATGAAGTTAAACGCATGTTACTAGGAGTGAATGGAAAGAATTAATGTTTATCAACGTGTACACACACATCACTTACATCTTTATCTTGATTTGAAAAAACAAGCTATTAGAGAGGTTTTGCACGACGTTTTTAGCGTTTTCAGAGTTTCCATGTCATCAAGTGTCATATAAGTCGGGTTAAGTTCAAATATCAAAGCATTGCGTCAACTATAAAGTAGTTTAATTCGATGAAAACTAAAAATATCGAAATCGACACTTCCCGTCCGCCATCTTTGATACGAAGGCGACGGCCGTTACCTTCGTTTGATACCGACCAATGAGTTATCGAGGTCATTACCAAATAAATACTTGTTTATATGGAGTTGAAGTCGTAATTCATTGACCAGCTTTTTCAATCAGTTTTTTGTACAGCAAAACGTATTTTTGTAAAGAATGGGTATCGATATGGCGAACTTTTTGAACACACGTTTCTCTTAAACCAGTCATCAAAAATTTCTGAAAATCTAACAAATTGTCAGTTTAATGGCCATCTTTTGAATGATAACAATATAATTTGAAATAGATATATATACTTTCATCTATATTGTTTTAAAAAACACATCAAACACTTGTTTTGTTCTTGGTATCATGTTTCCAGAATAAAATGAAACATCTTTCCGAACCTCATTGGAACAAAACGACATAAACACAGTTGTTTAGGTCTCTCAATATTGTAATTGTACAAAGGAAATGTTGGTTGATTTTAAAAAAGTATCTTGTTAATGAAATAAAAGGTTTTTCTTGATTTTTATCTATTTTGGGTGGATTTTGTTTTAATTTTTTGAATACTTTTTTTAAAATCAACCAAAAATTCCTTTGTACAACTTTAATATGGAGAGGTCTAAAAACATGTTGTATATGCTATTTTGTTCCAACAAGGTTCGGAAAGACATTTTATTTCATTCTCAAGAATTGGTAGAAAGGAGCAAAAACAATTGCACTAAAAAACAAAAAATGTTAACAAAAACAGTTATATAAAATCAAAATTACATGTTTTTTTACAGAATGTTTTCAATGATTGGTTTAAGAGAAAAACATTGTTGAATTCAGTTCTCCATACCGATACCTATCCTTTGTCAAATACTAGTACAATATATATCATATAACTAAACCTATTGCGTTCGTTGTCAACAGTTTAATTGATTTAGCCCTGTGCTACAATCAGATCCATGGCCTTTTATACTACCTTTATTTGGGGTTTTTGTATATCTCGTATATATTTTTGTACTTTTGCCTTAGTTAGTATTTGTAGTTTAGATATTTAGTTGTTTTTTTTCATAGTTATGACTAATGTAATCATGTTATGATACAAGATGTCAATAAAAGTTATATATATATACGCGGATTCTCTCAGGAAAGAGAAATCTATAGAACGCCAGACATGGGTTTCCATCAACTGTGATTTAATTGATCCAGTTTGACGTATACTTTCTACAATTCAATGTCTGATGCATATATCTATCTTTATATTCCATTTTTAAATGACCATCTCTTTCAAGATGAAGCAGATGTTCAAGACCGGTAAAACTCGGATTCCGAGGACCAGTTATACTAATTTACACAAGAACAGCTTCTGTCCCGTGGTGGTGGTGGTATGTGTAAGTCTATTCACTATCCCAGGAAGTTGATATTATGAAAATCGAGTTCTTTTCCCTTTTTCGCAAATGATTACCCGTTGCTTCGATTGATTGTGCAAAATCATTTTTTGACACCGTTCAAATAGTTTTTGACGCAGTACAAAATTATTCTTAATCCCCTTTATAAAGTTTAAACCACTTTGGCTTAAATTGTAGCCTTACCCAATGTTATCAAAGTGTGATGTGAAACTTTTTTTAATTTCAAAGAGTGGTTTTTGAAGGGCTTTTTATTCAAAAAATCGTGAATTTATTCAAAACTAACTTTTGAGTTCACACATATCTTTTATAAGTCACGATTCATACTAATGCATATACTGTATAGCATTCATCCTCACATGTTTTTTGTCAAAAAATTAAGAAAAATGTATTTCAAAATTTTATTTCTCATAGAAACCAATCCGTACAATGACATCTAAATCATAATAAATTCTTCCTTTTAACCTGGTTAGACAATCAACATTGGTTTATTATTGAAGTTTAGTAACAGGGTGTTTCCATCCCGCCCCGCTCCTCAGTGATAGATCCCTAGATACAGTATATATTCCCGCTCGTTATTTACCTAGAACCTAACACCCCAGTCACATTTGTCGCACGGCGGCCGCAAGTCGACCGCAGAACAATTAAATCGGTGAATTTCTGCGGCGAGCGTCGAAAAAGCTACGCTCGCCTTGCGGCCTCCGTGCGGCGTATGCAGATTTTTACACGCCGCAGGGAAGGCGTAGAAATTATAACTCGGAGTTATAATATTTGTTCATTTCTGAGGTCCCCGTAGAAATCAACTGGCTCAACAAGATTGAATCATTATTTGTCAATGTTTCACGATCACTTTTCATTTGATAAAATCTCCTAGCACTTTGAATAACATTTTTAAATGGTCCTGATGTAAATAAAATGAAAAAAACTAATATTTATCAATATAAATTTAAAATTCACCGTGCGGCTGCCGTGGAAAATGTGACTGCAAAAGTATGAGAGCGCAGAAATTCTGCGGCGAGCGCAGAAAAGCTACTGGCCGCAGAAATGATAGACCGCAAGGTCGCCGTAGGAAATGTGACTGGGATGAAGTCTCCATTCACTACTTAGGTTGTGGCCAGATATATATCAGTTCCTATATCTAGGTATAGAAGTTCTCCGAGTTTCTATTGCTTGATTATGGGTAGTAGGTTTTTGAAAGGTAAGTTGGTTGCTACATCATACATTTGTACTATTGTCCTTAACAAAATTCTCTAGATGGGCCCTCATATTCCTCTATCCAAGTATTATTCTTATATGTTGAATGAATCCTGCTTAGTAGCCTACCATCAAACACGTGTGACCCATCTCCCTAAACACCCGACATATGTGAGGGGGTCCAATACTAATATTCGACGTTGCAATTGTTCTTGAGCAGGTCTAATGCTTCAGACGCCATTAGAATATTCAGACTTTTGGTTTTGCATTGAGGTTCTGGGTGCCAGTGATGATGCCATATGGACGAAGGTGATACGTGTAGAATTCTAAATGATACATCATTTTTGGGTCGACATAGTGGAATGAAATAGCATAGTCGCTGATGCTCCCTGGACCCTACAATCACGCATTACAATTCGATTTCACTCTATTTTATTCAATATTTAAGCACCTTTTCTTTAGAAGAAAAATATAACACTTCAAAATGGCTGACAGGAAGTCGAAAGTGGGTCAAAAATATTTGTGTCACATTTGAACATACCTAGTTTGTTACAGATTAGAAAAAAACATCTACTTACGCCCTTAGCCCCATTTGCATCGTGATGGTAAAACCATTGAGGGTATAAACTATCAAGATGAGTTCGAAGACTGAAACAATGAAAGCGACTACGTCCTAAAGCATCCCTTGAATCTCCTGCGGTGACCCCCAGATGCTCCATGCACCTTCCCATCTCTATATCCTCTGCCCCTCCATCGGGTTGGCAATGTACAGGATCTTTCACTCCTTTCTCAGCATATCTTTTTAAGGCCTCATGAGATAATACATAACCGCCCCCACCACTGAAATAACCCTGTTTCACATTTACTTTAAACTTATGTCCAAAGAATATAGGATCTGTTGGTTTGTAAGCTGATAGTAAATATCTCAAATTTTCTACAATGACATATGTATCATCGTCAGCTTTGAGGAACCAATCAGCTTGGTCCCTATAGTTATCCCAGCAGTATTTGAATGACTGCATTGTTTTAGCAGTTAAATGTTCCCTGCCTTCAGTTGTATTAACCCCCACGGTTGGGAAATCTTTATTTGTCTCAGAGCTTATGAAGATAACGATATTACAGCGCTTTGCCCAGGTGGCCCTGACATGTTGAGCCTTCTTTTTCAGGTTCTGTGGACTAGTCATGATCCAGCAAAGTACACGTACTGTTTTATATAGCGTCTCTGCTGAAGTGATGTTGTCTGAAAAACCATACATTTAAACAGGTTAACATTGTAAGAGTACATCACGAGGGACAGGTTTAACTTGTGATTGAAGGGGTTCATTTAATGGTTGGCCAAATGGAATGTCAGATTCAAAAGGGGAGAAAGAAATTCTTATGGGAAATAAATTGTTCATGAGCCTACTCGAATTATGGCCAAATCAAAAGCATGTATTGATCTTGACATTGCAAACTTTTTAATCTGAATTTTTAAAAATAGTTTTATTAACATTGGAATTCCTCAAAGATCTATTCTTGGTCCTCTCTTGTTTTTTTCTTAACATACAAAATCTCCATGAAAACCTCAAATCGGTATGCGTTATATATTCAGGTGGCACCTCTGCGTATGCTCCTTTTGACCTAGATTTAAACCAAACTTTTGAACTCCAACAGGATCTGAAAACCCTGGAATATTGGTCAGCCAAATGACATTTGAGATTCAAGGCATCTAAGAGTGCCAACATGATCTTCCAACCAACGCCACACCAGTATTGGAGGAGTAGAAATCGTTTGACATTGACTGTTTCTTGAATTGATTTGAATTTGATCAACGGCCTAGAAACGCCAAATACCAAGATATTCACCTTTGACCTTGGCCCGTTAGCATTGACTCTGGCCCCGATCACCTCATTATGTGTTGCAAAGGGTCACAGTATCCTTCAAGTGCCTTAGAACGTCATTTAAATATTGACCTTTAACCTTGAGATGACCTTGACCCAAAAACATTGACCTTGACTTCAGGTCACCTAATCATATTAAACATATTAAAAATAGTAAGTATTTTGATTGGTCTAAAATAGTAGATAAAGAACGTGAAACATATTTATTTTCATTCATATGGATACTTTTTGATTTAAATATAATTTCGCGCTTTTGTCATCCTCCAGTGTTGACAATTTCTGTTCGGAGATTGGTATATCCTGTATTTGGCTGTGATATCCAAAATTGATGACGTTCTAAACAGAGATAGTTCCTTTAAAACAATTGGAAATATAGCAGAAGAAAAAATTGACTTTTTAAAATAATAATACGTGACATCCCAAACTCATGGAAACAGTATATTGAAAAATAGGAATAAAAGAGATATAGATGCTACAAACAACTCTACGCATAAGATTTAACATTATAAAAATATCTACAAATGCAAAAAACAAAAACAAATGCCTATTAGAAAAAGAATATGAAAATCCCACTGTGGGAGTTCCAGAAAATGACATGAAATTATATTACAGATTGGCCAGAAATGAAATACTCGAAACAAAAGTATGGTCTTTCCCGTACAAGATCCTCATGAATAAACTTTATGTAATGATGGATTACAAAAAATGAACATCATTGAATCTGGTAGATTTCCTTGGTGTGAGGAATTACAAAACATGGAGCATCTACTATTGAACTGTAAATTAGTAAAAGAAATACGGGATCGTCGTAAGGAATGGTGTACTAAAGTTATTTCGATAAAAATAAATGAACTAACCAAAACTGATATCTTACTTGGTAATAAGGAATTGAAAACGTATGAAACTTTGCATACTTCACTAATTATTACTATGTAAAACAATGCCACGACCTTATTTTTTACATCGGGCTGCGCATGCGTATTGGAGGGAGTGGATGGATCGGTAAATATTGTGACAAAGACCTTTCGAACTTTTCTCTTATATTACTAAAGGTAGAGTATACCATTGATAGTGCTGACAGTGCATTCATCTTCAGTGACATAAAACTTCTATTGCACAGAATTAATTTAAATGTGAATATGTATATATTTATATATTTTTTCATACAGGAGCTCAAAAGTATCGAAACAAAACATATGCAACAGGTGCAAGTAAACTATTGAATAAAATGTGATCATTGATTATAAACTGATGTTTGTTTTTATATTTTATTTACACTACATGAAAAAGATATCAGTGTGAATGTGAATTTTGAATTCGAATTGTGTGGAAGGGCGAGAATGTTAGAGAGTGAATCCTCATAAAAACTTAATATTCTAACTGAAACGTGTCATGAAACCATAAAATGGGGTACCTTAAAAGACCCGTTACGTGTTTAATCAAATGATTGTCAAAAATACCTTGCATTGATGATTGTAAATTGTTCTTTTATACATAAGATAGTAATCTTAAACTTAAAAACTAAATGTAATGTCATGCAACAGTTTTATATTATAAAGAAGATGTAAGATGTTACTTTTATACCGCGTGGATCAAAAAATGACACCGATCCACATATAATTTCATAAATTCTTTTGTCTAAATAAATTCTGACTTGTTTTTTGCACATTAAAATTGCACTCCATTTTGCAACTCAACAAGAAGTTTAAGATGACTAGCTCACCTAGATGCACATTTATGAGCGTTACAAAATGCGTGCAAAATGCAAAAAATGACGCCCACTTTTTGTAACATAGTTTTTGAAATAATGACAACTATTATTTTGTGTTTAATTGAATGGACTTTATTTCCATGAACGTACAAGCCAGAACCATTAGTACTTAAGTATTTATAAATTTATGAACAAAAGCTGGGTGGCAAAGGAATGGACGACATTAGGACGAAATGTTGTAACGCTCATAAGATTAGACAAGCAAGTTATGCAACGTGAGGTGGGTGTCATTTTTGTGTCACCCTGTATACGGAGTGTTCGTTTTACCTCAAAACCCTATGTATCACCAGTGATATATGGAATAACCTCACTGTCCTCTTTCTGAGGAACCCTATTTACTTGTAACAGGGTCGTAGAAAAATTAAATAATGTTAGAAGAACGCAGGAATGTTTTTGCAATTTCCACTATTGCTCTAAAAACCTATCATCCTGGTACCCCAAATCCGACCTATGAAAGTTAACTTTCCTCCTTGTTCTGGCAACTTTGTTGACATCCTTCGCAACTGATGAAAAAAATGAAAAATATCATTTAAAATCTCGATTCCTCAAAAACATGCGGAGCTGATCGATAATATCAGATTATAAAAAGAGGGCAGACAAATGATAGCAAAAACACTTGTTTTTGTTTGAAAAATCTGTTGAATTGATTTTGTTTTGTGAGAAATACAATTGAATTTAAAATCATGATCAAAAACAGATGTTCAAATATTGGAAACATAAAAGTACGTCCTTCTTTGGTGTTACAAATGATAATGAACCTAAGTTCACTTATGATCTATTCTCATATTAATTACTGCTATTTCTGATATGGGGCAAAAATTAAAAGTCAAATCTAAACAGACTGCTTATTGTTCGACTTGTATATAACAAAAATCAACAGACCCACTCAGCTTCCCTATTCAAGGATCTTGGTATTCTCAACATATTTGATGTGAATAAACTTAATACTGCAATGTTCATTTTTATTCTAGAAAGAGCAATGATAAATTTTAAACAATATCAGAATTAAAGCTACTGAAAAATATCTCAGCTTGCAGTTCAATCAATTATTATGGCCCTTTTATCTGGAATACAATACCTGATAAGTTAACATTAAAAATCTGAATCAATAATAAATGTTAAGAAGCATTCCAAACCTGAACTCTTAAAACATTATATTTAGCTTCAAATTCAATCCACAGTAGCTTTATTGCATATAGTCTTACATTTTTTCTATTTAGATTATTTTTTGTAGCACATTATACTTCTTTTATGCCTCTGTGGTGTCTTAGAATCTGATTGTGACATGTAACATGTTTTGTATATGTTTTTATGATAAATAAAATAAATAAATAAATAAAACTGTAAGAACAATTTTTTTTCCTAAAATCGATCAGTCTATAGACATGACTATATCCTATACCATGACCTAGCTTTACAAATAATTTCAGGTGTCCCGCTTTGTAAAAAGCCATGCCACTGTAAAATAATTTTGTTACAAAAATCGTCAAAAATTATATCCGTTTTTTTATTTTCAGCCATTTTAGTTAACATTGATTTGTCCCTCTGTCTCTCGAAATCCACCTTTGGACCATTCGGCTTAAAACCTCTGTCGATAGGATTCCCGTTTTATCTTATTTTTGTTCAACATCAATACAGAAAACTCCCCTATTGTCTCGCGAAATTCACTTTTGGCACATTTTCTAGCTTTACAAATAATTTCAGGTGTCCTGCATTGTAAAAAGCCATGTCACTGTAAGAGTAGTTGAATAAAATAATTTTGTTACAAAAGATCGGCAATTTTTTGTGAATGATGCCATTTTTGCCATCATTCACTTTTGAGCAACACCATGGTTTACTTTAAGTAGTGTCTTTTTGCCTCGATTAAATTGATCTTCTTACAACTAAGAAATCAAACATAACGCTTAATATAATTTTGCATCTATTCATCTGTAGGTAGGACGTTTCGGTAACTCTAAAATAATAGGGAGGTTAAGTTACACATTTTTAAGAGATCCTGTACGCGAGCATGTAATATTTTCAGATACCCGGGGATTACTGTCCTGCTTTCAATTAGCTTCCACATGGACCTAATTACAATTTCCCAAATTTTTACGTCATTTCCCAACATCAGCTTGAAAGAAAAGTCCTGCAAATTAGACGAGACTTCATATAAAGTGTAACTTAACAGTACTGTCCCCTCAGCAAATAAGTATTCCTTTATAAATATAACAAATTGCAAAAACATTGTGCTCTCCTCAACTTCATGATTTTTGACCGTTGTCATTCTTACTATAAAGAAATTAAATTCTTACCATGGTGATGATGTCCATCATCAAATGAAAGTGGCTTATCTGGTCCTTTGATAGAATCGATCTCTTCATGAGATTGCGGATCCCGAAATGATAATTGAGAATGCGTGTCATTATGGAATGTATATCGTGTCGCTTCTACAGCTTCTGAAAGTCTATGATTTCTAGCAAGTGATTGTGGCAGCGCTACATTTCCAAAGTTTACTCCTATGAACGAAATTATTAAACCAACTGTTAGCCCTATGACTAAATAAACTGCTTCAATATGCTGTTTGACCATTTTAGTAGTCAGTTAGTAACGATTTACATGCAGAATTGAGCAGTGCAAGCAAGCATTGCCGATCGTGGCTGATCCCTGGCCCTACTTCTGGAAGCTTTTTTGCACTCTGGAATACGCATGCGTATCAAAAAGGCATCCAAATAGTAATCAATGCTAAAAGCGTGTTCATCTTGTTATATACTGCAAATATACAGAGGTTATTTACGAGAAGGGATTGAATATGTTTTTTACTCATCATGAGGATATTATATTTTCCAAGGGCTCGGAGGGCAATGGGGAAATATCATATAATTGTCACAAGAATGAAGAAAATGGCATGTATTCACTGATCTAATAACACCATCAAAAATCGAATTCAAGGTGCCCAGGGAGATATATCTGGAGATCTGGCCTGAACAAAAACCTCACAAATCTGACGAAACATAGCCCATTCCCTTGGAAGAACATTTTCTGATGAAAATACTAACAGAATACACAGATGCTTACACAATCGGGAAGAAACAATATGCCACAAAGGATAAACACCCCCATTCCAGAAATGATAGACATCCCTTTGTCCAAGGAAGATCCAGTCACATATTCTAGTGGATAACCAACAACATACTTCAGCTATTAGGCAATCACATGTCCCAATACACATACGTGCAACCCAACGACCCAGTGGATAAGCAATCGCTCGAGTAAGTTGAGAAACAACCCCAAATCCCAGTACAGCAAACTCCCAAACCCAGTGAATAAATCGAACCAACAACCAAATTCCAAAGAAACACTAGCTGATTTCAATGTGAACGGAATTTGTGTTGTGGATTGAGGTGACGGTTGCTTGCTTCCTTCCTTCCTACTTTTCTTCCTTCCTTATTTTCTTCCTTCTCTCCTTCCTTACTTCCTTCATTCCTTCTTTCCCTCCTACCCTACGTCCTTCTTTCCCCCCTACCTTACTTCCGCACGTCCTTTCTTACTTCCTTATTTCCTTTCTTTCTTCCTACCTTCCTTCCTTCAGTCCTACCTAACTTCCTTCCTTATTTCCTTCCCTCTTTCCTTTCATCCTTCCTTCCTTCTTCCTTCCTTCCTTCCTTCGTTCTTTACTCTTCCTTCCTTCCGTACGCCCTTCCTTCCTTTCTTCCGTCCTTCCATCCTTGCTCACTTACTCACTCACTAGGAGGGAATCAAGCAACCCTGTTTAATGGAACCAGACAGACTGGTAGATTAACTGTGTGTATGGTATTCTCGTTATTAGTGGAAATCTTAATCTGCACAATTTGACAAAATCTAACATTAAAGGTGCAACAATTAGTGCAGAGGGGCCATTCGACGATCATGGACCAGTGTCAAAATATCACAACCAGAAGAACTAAAACATCTTATGTTCAATATCACACAAAAAAGGACGTTTCGCATGCCAAGTTAAAAGACATATTTAGAGGAAAACCTGCGAACGAAAGAATGATGAACGAACGAACGGACGAACGCATCCGCGCACGCACAAATAGATGAACGGATGGTCGGGCGAATGAGAGAGGATGGACGGATAAACAAATGGGCAAACGCACCATGACGAACGAACGGACAGACGAACGAACGAGGGAATGGAAGAACGAACGAATGAATGAACAAATAGACAGATGAACGCATGAGTCTTTTTACAAAGATAAAGAAGTTTAATCATAACGCAGACAGCTAGAAGGTTCAAACTGTCCGAGGTCGATGATACGTTATCGGCACGTTTATATCAAGAAGCTCAATATCTCATGAAATAATAATGAAGCCTTCCTCGCGATCAAAGCGGGTGTTCGTGAAATCTGCTCGCGTTTTCAGCGGGACCTCCTCATTTCTTCATCGCTCCCCTCCTGATTTTAGCGGGGCCACTGGAACAGGTTAAATGATGTATTTCACCCCCCCCCCCCAACGTAGTTGTAATTGTACAGCAACTTATCAGTACAGACTTTCAGCTAAGGGAACACGGGGCAAAACGGCCCTAAAAATTTAATTCTGTACGGGGTATTTTCTTATCTGTCAATCATCGCGCACTTTGATGTTCCACTTTATCAATGGTTTGTGGTTTATATTTTTCGAGTGTTTTATACTTTCCTAGGACTATCTTCTGTGATTTTTCAATGGTCAAAAATATTGTCGAGAGTGGGGCAAAACGGCCCATGGGTGGGGGAAAACGACCCACCCTCTGTTACATGGGTTTTAAAACCAAAATTAATCAATTACAAGACTCGTCCACACACATATTATCTCAGACGTTCAAACCTTTGACAGATAAAGTATTCTTAATCCCTACCATAATTCTAGTCATTCGATATGTGTCGGAAGGAAATAAGATACAAGCCAAATGTTAAAATCGTTATATTTGAAAACCAATTGTTCTTGCACAATAAGATTTTTGTATGTATAACATGTGTGGGCCGGTGTAAAATAAATTATGGTCCCCTGGGAATTATGGTCCCCTTTCCTTATGGCCCTTAATGGCCCTGACTGTGTATAAATAATAAGGAAAATAATTGTAATTAGGTCACCATATAAATCAATAGAGAGTAGGACCAAAATTTGATAGGACCACCTACCCTTTTACACCGGTTTGCCCCAAAGACATGTGAATTTTCAAATAGACGTCATTTTAATTTGTCTAATATTTGAAGCTCGAAATTTTTACAAATAAAGAATAAATGTGCATACTCTATGTAAAATGTTAAATCAAAACGATATTCTATTGTTGCCGGATTTTTTAGAGATTCTCGTGGGAGGGGTAATTTACAAAAAGAGGGTGAAAAGTAGAATTACCTCTTACGTAAAGCGAGACGCTGCTTGGTTAAAAATGGGCGGTCGAGGAGGTGGCAGAAATTTCAAAATTCGATTATGTGACATTTGAAGAACCATCTTTTTATAGTTCAAAAGATATTTCGATGGGCAACTTTGCCCCCCAGAGGGCCGTTTTGCCCCATGTTCCTCTACATGTATGGATCCAATATCCATTATGAGGTAAACCTGTTTTGAAAGTATTGTTGGAGTATCAAAGAACAGTAATGTGTATTTTTACGCTGAACTCACAACATTTTCACTTGGCACCTTTTGAGGTGGATCCCGGCTATGGCATTAATGGTTGAGAAATAGGGATCGAATCCAGTTTTCTCTTGATGACCATTGTGAATTATTGTGTTTTATGGATTATGGCGATGGCTTTTGTGAATGGATGTTGACCCTTTGAAACGCCTATGGACTTGGAGACTGGATTTTATCTATCCCGCATCATTTGAGACTGAATGCTCCATCTTGTGTGAGTACTTGTATGTACAACTATTTTTGAGGTTATGAGTATTGGCTATCAATTTCTAATTTTTTCTTCAACATGTAATTGTAATGACTTCAGTATGAATGAATTGTTCCTTTGTCTTCTGGTCTTGGATTGTGCTATTGGTTCTTGAATGGAGGGGGAAAGGGGGTATTAGACTTTGTTTCTTTTCACGTTAGATCATGGTTTTGGGCTATATGGGGTTTGTTTTTCTTGACTGGTATGCACTTAGAGTTTACTTTTTCTTACTAAGTTCCATTACAACTTTTGGTCCTTTCTCTTTGGCACTAGTGTTTATATATTTACCCTTTTGGTCCATTCTCCTAAGAATCGACTATGTTCGCGTTTTCAGTGGGAACTCTCTAACGATTTTTAATTCATCGCGGGGTTTCGGATCACATTCGTGATAATTATAGGGTATCCTATTGTTTTGAGGGATATCCCTTTTATTTACGAGGTGATATTGATATCTGCATGAGAGAGCGAAGCCAAACTGTACAGATATCAATATCACCGAGTATATCGTGGCCATATCCTCCGGTTTTTCATTCTGCCAACATATATCAAAGGACGATTCTCGGTTTGGAGAACAGTCTCCTGGGCTAATCATTTTTTCATGAAAAATATAGAAATATTACCCAAATTAAACTATGAATATTCAAAAGAAGACATTTAAATCTACAAGATGTAAAAATAACAAATTGGTCTGAAGCAGGGATAACGCTCAATTAGATCGATTCAATAAAATACAAGTCTCGATTTGGGGAAAAAAGTTCATCAGTGTACTGCGCTAATATTTTTTTGCGAAAAATCTAGAAATATTACCCAAATTAAATTATGACTATTCAAAAGAAGACATTCAAATCTATATTATGTAAAAAAGTCAAATTTGTCCGAAGCAGGGATAGTGCTCATTTAGATTGATGAACTTCGTTCTCCAAACCGAGAATCGTCCTTTATCTTTTAATGTTATTATACATTTAGCACACTTATATAGTGTAGGATAATATTAGTGTTGAAGATCAATTCAACTATTACCAACAGTGACATCTATTTATGAGTGAAACATTAAATACTATAACTCATGTAGAGGGATTCACAAACAAAAATATAGAGAACGCTAAAGACATTACGAGAAACATAATGTACACTAGCGGATCTAGACGGGGGCGTGGGGAATTTCCGAATTTTGACTGGAAATCAAAATAGATGGTTATGGATTGTCAATAGAGAGCTTTCGATATAAGTTTATAGCCAAATTTATACCACCCCATGCAGACAGATCGCCTAAAACTACATTCGGATGATGCGAGACTCGACATTCAACGGGAAACTGGAAACAATTTGTCACCAATGAATGACAACTCACATTAGGTTTTACAAGTATGGGAATAGCATGACGTTTTGATGTTACGGGAATTCGAAGGTAACTGGGATTTTGGTTTTACCGATGATGCTGATATGCGATGCGGTAACGTTATGAGAGTTTATAATGGAGAGCTACCGTGTATTGAAAACCGACACGACCGTTACCGTATTGTATTCCAGTTACCTTCCCTTAAGCGGTGGAAGATATCGTTGAACTGTGACGCCCATGCAAAATATGAACCAACTCTCATACTCCAGAGTTCCCATGTCATTTAACCCTGATTTGGTTGAAATCTCAAAGCATAATATCAACTATAATGTAGTTTAATTCGATAAAATCGACAATTACCGTCCGCCATCTCGGATGCGAAGGTTACGGCCGTTACCTTTCCTTGATACTGACCAGTGCAAATGATG